TGACTTGTATTGGGTTTGTAGGCTAGAGTAGCATGACAGAGGTTTGACCTATAGCTTTCAAGGCATAGCATCATTTGCTAAGATAATTGAGATTTCAGAAAGGTTCAGTGTTTTTGGGTTTAGCTAGATGATACCCACATGAATTGTTGTATCTGTGTACCACCTTTGTTTTAATTGATTAGAATCTAAATATACTTCTAAATGCATATTAGTTGTACCATTCTAATATTCAGTTCATAACAATGTTAGAGACAAAGGGATTCTTCAGTATGATTCAGTTCATTAGTCTTGATTGAGTTTATATGAGAAATCAGGAGCTTTGCCTATTGAATCTGGTTAGTTTAAAAGAAAATGTTCAAATGCATCTCTAACATCTCTGTAATTTTGGGTTTTTTTTAGCAATGCCTGGTGGTAAAAGGGTCTGTCTAACTTTTAGCTTTTTTAATGTTACAAAATTATTTCATGCAAAATGGTTAATTGGTTTTAGCTTTGATGATTCCAGCTTTCCCTTTTTTGTAGCAATTACTTTACTTTCTTCATCAATTTGTTACATGGTTGGTAAAGAAATGGTGAAGCTGTTGTGAAGCCATCATGGTATGAAAGTGCCATTTGATGTAGCATCATTAGTTTGACATGAAAAAATCCCCAAAGATTAACCCTTGAGATATGCATAAGCTTAGGCTTTAACTTTTTGCTTCTACAATTATTATCTCATGCACAAGACAAATTAGTTAATTATACTTGTTCTTAAATGATGTTCACACTACCCTAATAGTTGATATATATGATGCACTTTTTTAAAAAAAAATTTGGTATTTAATAAGGTTCCTTCTCCATTTTTTGTAACAATTGCTCTAAAAGAATGCAAATTTGTGTAGACATCCAAGAAGTTAATAAGTCAAACTGGTTGGTAGAGAGCTCTCAATTATAATTGTTATTGATATAAAGCTATGGGTGATGCATGCTGAAGTTGCTAAAAAGATTTGTATGTTGCTACAATCAAATTATACTTGTTGGTGATATTGCTGATTAATTCCCTTGTGCTGGTGGTTTTGGTTAGTAACTCTGTTTTGTTGACCAAAAAACATTTTGATTATTTAGAATTTTCCTTCTCTTCTAATCAATAGTTTGTAACTGAATTTTCCTGGATACGCATAGACCTAGGGCTATGGTATTTACCATTTACCTTGCCTCTGTTTATTTCCTTCTCTTTTGCGGGTATCATGGAGACAACCAAATGCAACATGTAAAATGCAATACATAATTGCATATGTTAAATGTGGCTAGAATTGGGAATTTGTTTAGAAGTATAGATGCAAAATCATCCAGCAATATAAAGTATATGTATGTAGGATATTAGGATTCATTATTGACTTTACTACTTTTTACATTTGTTTTTTAGTGACTATGAATTGATAAGAGCATTTCTGTATTGGTGAAGGAAGTTTGAACATGGTCTAAAAGATACTTAACAATCTTAAAGAAAGTTTACTTGTTATTAGTTCTATTTTTTCTACTTAACTGTACTTTTATTTGAGCTTTGCTATAGGCCTCATAACTTTTGTTGTCAGTTTATTGCTTGGCTTCGCTGGCCTCATTGTGGGTGAACTTCATTACAATATACTTTTGAGGTCTTGATTTAGTTTCCATTGTTTTCTGTAAATGTATTCTTGCAAAGCACATTTGATAATGTGTTATATAACATGAGACAATTCTCATTTCTTCAAGTTGAATTTTGATTGCAAAAACCTCCTATGGCAGATTCCTTACATTGAGGTTGTATCGTCTATGTTATTCGTGAATCATATATGGCAGTAGATACTATGGCTATAATAAGACACAACATTGCGAGTATTTTGTTGTTTTTGATTGTATGCCCAAGCAGTTAAATATGCATATATTGCTAACGTCATAGGAATTGATGTAATTGGGATTAAATTCCTTAGAACTCACTGTTATAATTTTCTTTTAAGCAATGATATATCCTTTCACTACTAATTTCCTTTTAATGTTAATTTTTTATTTTATTTTATTTTTTTATTTCAAGGGCCCGGGCATTGCCTTGTGTATTAACTAGTTTCATTTAAAGCCACATATTTTTAATCACTAATCTTTGAAGTTTATAAGGGACATTTGAAAACTTTCAACTTATCTTCTCAAGTTCCAAAACCCTCATAGTTGATATATAAGTCCTAGAGCTTTTTACAATCTTCCAGAACTTTTTTGCCCATTGATCTTCCTCATAAATGCAAGAAAGCCACAAAATTCCAAAACTTGTTAATAAGTTCTAGAATCTTCTGTGGAATCTTGAAATTAAATGGAATTGAAATTTTTTTTTTAATTTTAGGCTACAACAGCTAGTTTGAGTTAGATCTAAATGTGAGGGCTTAAAAAGAATCTTTGGAGAAGATAATAGCAAATATAGAGCGGAACATTAGTACATCTTTGTGCCTCATCTTTCTTACTCGTGCATCTAAATAATCAATCATGTTTGTTTCTTTTCATTATAGAGTGAGAGACTGTTGGGAAGTCCTTATTAGATTTAGTTAAGAAAACCATCCCAGTGTTTAGGATTGGGTTTGTGAAAGACTAGAAAAAGGGGTTGAGTTATTAAATGTAAACAATACCAACAAAGTTATAAAAACAGTTACCTTCATGCTTGCAAGTTGGAGGGGAGTATTTGAATTCAATCCTAATTCCCAAGTAAGTAGTTTTAGAGGAGCGGATTTGATACAAATTGTAACCAAACTACCATAAATTATTGTGTTTGAGTTTTCTCTTCTCTTACTACTCTTTTAATTTCAGCATTTCAATTTATTTGTTTATGTTTTGCACCTAATTCTTTATCAATATATGCTACAAAAATTTCACAAATTTTCAAAAACTTAATTCACCCCCACTTGGATTGGCATCATTTACGCCAATAATATGTAAATATTGGTTTGTATTGGAAATTACCGAAACATAAAAAAATAATGCTTTGAGATATAGAGAACCCAAAGGAGCTGGTTATATGTAGTCCTATTAATTCTGTTGTTAGGGTGACATGTTCCCATAGTAAAAGAAATCAATAACATATTAATCTATTAGAGAGAATCCTCATATGGGATTGTTTTTTTTTTTTTTTTTTGATCAACAAAACAAAACTGAATTTTATTACTTAGGAGTATAAGAAATACTCCTAGTCAATAGAAACCATTACATGTTGGGCATGTTAGTTTGAATAAAAAATACATAGCAAAACAAAAGGTCCATCCTACAAATAAAACCGATCAACTTTGCTGCACTTTGAAAACCTTCTTATTTCTTCTGAACCTAACAATTTCCTTTACACAATCCACCGGCCTTTGAGTCCAATTACAAAAAGAGAATGCACACCCAACTTCCTAACCTTTAATCCCTAAAAAGGTTTTGGCTTGAATAGATCCCAACATATTTTCTCTATAACACGATTCAGTCCCAAATACCTGGGTTTCTCCAGCACCAAATATACCAATTTACCACCAAAAATATAAGTCTAGCCACCTCCTATCTACACAACTGCCCCCCCACACCCAACACTCAATATTCCGCCAATCACTAAATAGTATTAGGAAAAACACCTCCACACCCCACCGCAACAACACCTGCATCCATAATAACCAAACTTCCCTACACTCACAAAACAAATGATCCCAATCTTCCACCAACTATCTACATAAACCACAACCAACATCCACCCCTT